GCCGGTGAAGGCTCCCTCCTCAAAGAGAGCCTTCCGAGAGCGAAGCAAGGCAGTAACAAACGCTCGCCTCGAGAGCTGACTCTGCGTGCTTCGCTCCCAAGCAGACAACACACAAACTGTGTGTGTCCCCACCCGAAATATAGCGCGGGCAGGGAGGAATACACAGCCTGAATGCTGTCTGCTCTCGCCCAAATGCTTCTTTTTGCTGAAGCTTGGCATAATGGAGCTTATAAGTGGACAAACAACACTAAATAAGACTCACAACAAATAGCGACTGACACACACACAGAGCGTTTGCTGAATGACAAAAAGCTGACGCCGGTTCCATGCACGTGCTTTTATAGCTTCCTGGTCGCAACGTCACCCGCCCATGACGTCTCGCCCATCTATTGGACTGATTTCATATGTGATTCAGAGCATGGTCACGCTGGGGGCGTTCCCAAAGCGTTTCCGACGCAGCTCGAGTTCCTGAATGGGAACTTTGTGGTAAAATAAAGATCTTGATGAATATGTCCCCTGATCTGTAATATGGAATAGAGTTAAAAAAAACACTTCAAACAATTTAAATCACAGAGATTTATTCAAAATATATATGACATGATGAGTGCATCATTATTTTATAATTATAAAATATAATTTTTAAAGATCTTCACTGTTAACACAAAGATTCTAGACTTAAACATAAGATGGTGATTCATAAACTGATTATTATCACAAATAAATTTTAGTAGATGTACTGTATATTTTTGCATCAAATAAAAGAAAATAACTTGCAGAAATATACATCTAATTAACAGGAGCATCTGCCAAATATTTCAGCTAGTACTTTATGTTAAAGAATCACACTTAACTGCTAAAAAATGTAACTAAAAATGAACAAGAAATGTGAAGAGATGAAATCATCTTAAGTATCACACTCAAACAGTATTATTAGAGTGGAGCAAAATAATTTCTTGTTAATAATCATAATACAGCAATGTAGAATAAATGTGGACTTGTGCAATCCCCTCCCATGTATACATTTTAGATTTAATGATTTTCTTTTAAGATGCATATAGTATTCATGTATTTATATCACAATCATGTAATCACTTGCTAATAGACAATTAATATTCATTAGCAGAACGACTATAGAAAGAGAGAGATGGCAGAGAAAATAAGGAAGAGGAAATGGTTACGATAAGGCAAGGCATAAGTCCCACATTAATATTGGAGGAGCTTTCCAGAGCTGGAGAGCCTTAAAGAGTGGGAAGGCCTGAAAACAAACGTCCTGGTTGCTATAGGCTATTTCTTCTCGAAACATGAGTAACGTTGGTTTTGCTGCGTTTCACAGAACTAAGATAAGCTGTCTTTTGCTTGAATATACTTGTGTGTCATCATCTTGTTCATTTGCATTATTATTTTCCTTCACTTCAGCTATGATAATTTCCATGCTTTATAAGCCTTCTCCACCATCCGTTTTAAATGTCAGCTCCCAAAGTGTGTCCAAAAAGTGAGATAACATACTCCTAATATAACGTTGTTTTTCTGTTTTGGTTCCCCTTTTAATGATCGCTATACAAGTCGTTGCGTGTGTGAATGTGGGGGTGTGGAGGTATCAAGAGGTGTGATCCTTTTGTGTAGGGGCGTGTTTGTTTTGGTGACTTCAAGACTTCAAGAAAACAGCATTTTCCAGAAATCGCCAAGAGCTCCTGTATATCTAACTTCTCATAGTCAGATAAGTACTTAATTTTATTCCTCAGAATTAAATGCAATCAAACAACCAGACGAGTAAACACGGTCTGGTGTGGTAAGATTCACATCAAAACTGAAATGATGTAATACACGCATTGCCTCGGCAGCGCGCGAACCGCTTGGTCACACAAACAAATCAATCTCCTCGGAGAAAAATAGCTGCAGCAGCCAGCTCTCACTCAGAGCGGGAAGAAACCGCAGCGCGGGCTTCCGAGCCTCGAGAGATAGCGCTGGATCTAGGGAGTGCTGGATCTAGGGAGTGCAGGCGGAGAAAGGGCGAGCCGTCTCCAACCCATCT